TCAATGAGCGCATTAATCAATCTATTATCATGTCACAAGAATAATATTGTCATCCGCGAATTAAAGGTGAGACATCTATGTACCTTTTATTTTTTATTTCCGCCCTACTCTACCAATACAGGCATAAGTAACCATACATGCGACCTTACTCCTATCTCACACTTGTTTGTTTATAGATTTACAACAATCACAAACTTATTGCTATGCTAGTACACTCATAAACAAGTATGCTTATGCACCCACACGCATAAACACGACTCTTAATGGTGTTAAACTAAATTAGAAACCAATGGAAATTGTTCCATTTTGAAAATGCCTCCAAAATATCTCAGAGTCCAACCAACTTACTAGTTGACCAACCACTCCACTTTCTCACCCAAAATGCACTCCTCATCCTTTAGTTGCCAAAATGCCAAGAAATACCCACGTAGAGCTTTCCCAGCAATGAAGAGAGATCCTTTCTAGCACTTATGCGCCGCTAAATCCTGGACCTAATAAGAAGTTCGAACAATTGGAAATTGGAGGGCTAAATGAGTCCTCAAAGCTTGGTCAAATGTGGTTATCTCTGAGGAGTTGGAGGATGAACCTATTTGGTGCCTAAGACCCAAAGATCTATTCTCAGTCAGATTATATTATAAGTATTTGACAAAGAGAGGTGCCATTGCAAGAAATTCCCAGCTCAGATGATTTGGGAAGTGAAGGCAGTGCCTATGATGGCTTTTTTTTGGGTATGGAAAGTACCACAGGAGCGCATTTTGACTCTGGATAAACTGGTCGAAAGAGGCATAATCCTGGTGAATGGATGGTATATGTGCAAAAAAGATGCAGAGTCATTTAGCCATACCCTTCTCTGGTGCCCACATGTGCATCGACTTTGGTCTTTGGCCTACAGTTTATTGGGTTTGCGTGGCAAGCTGTCCAGATTTACAAGCAATCTGTTAGGCTAATTCTATTAGTTATCTTTTGGACTATTCGGAAGGAGACGGACAGGAGAGCATGAGAGCTTTAGGGGGCACTATATCTAATTTTGATAGATTGAAAGACACTTGTTTCCACGCCTTGAGTTGTTTTATCAGGGTTCAACTGCTCTACAGTAGCGAGAATTTTGGAACCTAATTGATGTGTTGATTAACTCGTAAATTCCTCTATACATGAATTACACCCGCTTGGCGCTTTCTTAATACATACTATACTTTTTCTTCTCAAAAAAAGATCCTGGACCTAAGGGCGAATAAAATAGGAGGTTAATGTTTACCTTTCCGCGCCGATGAACAGGTTGATGGAGGCCAAAATTCGGCTGGAATCAATCGCTTCCACTCCCAGGCCGCCTCGTAAAGGTTCTTCGGAAAAGGTCCTTTGGACTCCCAAGAGTCGAATCGGTAACTGTGCCGCCCGAATTGCAGCAA